AGGGGAGAGCACACATCCCTGGGGGGCGCCTGTGCTTATTGTCCGGGTGCTGGATGTGGTTTTCCCCAGCCTCACCTACTGCTTCCTGTCTGTCAGAAATCCACTGACAGGTGGGGGCAGGCACAGTGAGCTGGGTCAGTTTGGAGTGGAGGAAGTCCAGGATGATGGTGTTGACCGCCGAGCTGAGGTCCACAAAGAGGGCCCGTGCATAGGTCCCTGGGGAGTCGAGGTGTTGCAGGATGTAATGCAGTGCCATGTTCACTGCATCGTCCACTGACCTGTTTGTCCGGTAGGCAAACTGCAGGGGGTCCAGCAGGGGGTCTACGATGTGCTTCAGGTGGGCCAACACCAGTCTTTCAAAGCACTTCATAACTACAGATGTCAGGGCGACAGGTCTGTAGTCGTTCAGTCTACTGATGGAAGGTTTCTTGGGGACTGGGATGATGGTGGAGCGTTTGAAGCAGGAGGGGACTTCACACAGCTCCAGTGACCTGTTGAAGATAAGTGTGAAGATGGGGACCAGCTGATCAGCACACACTTTCAGGCAGGAGGGGGTCACACCATCTGGGCCTGGAGCCTTTCTGATATTTTGTCTTTTAAAGAGGCCACGCACATCCTTTTCATAGATCGTTAGAGGTGGGGGGGCTGGAGGGAATGGTGGTGATTGTCGGGGAAGCAGCTGCTGGATCTGAGGTGGGAAGGGTGAGGGGGGAGTGTTGATTGTCAAACCTGCAGTAGAATACATTCAGGTCGTCACACAGCGGGGGGGTGGGGGGTTCTATAGCCAGCGATGGTTTTCAGGCTCCCCTACACAGACGAGGGGTCGTTGGCTGAAACCTGGGCTTTCAGCTTTTCAGAGTAGCTCCTTTTTGCTGCTATGATCTCCCTTGTCAGTGTGTTCCTTTCCTGGCTGTACAGAGTCCTGTCCCCACTTCTGTAAGCCTCCTCTTTGGCATGACGAAGCTGCTTGAGTCTTGCTGTAAACCAGGGCCTGTAATTGTTGTATGTGCAAAAGGTCTTTTTGGGCATACTGTAAGTGGACATCACCTGAGAATCACCGACTCGGTATTATAAACTCTTCTGAGAGTCTGACATTCATCATCTGCTGTGTTAATAGATGTTATTAGCAGCTGTTGTAATATAGGCAGCACAGGAAGGGTTAACAGGCCCTGTTCACCTTTCACAGCTCAGAGGGGAAGGGTTCACTGTCTCTATTGATTTATTGATTTAAAGGCTCTGTTTGCATGCTAACCCCCCCACATACACACACACACACACACACACACACACATTCACATGCATAACTTAATGACAGGATGACTGGTCGGCAGCATCATATCATAGGCCCTTTACTGGAACAGACACTGGATACTGGCAGCACTGGGACAAAAGAGAATCAATGTACAGCAGATTAGAGATGAACACAATGTTTCACACACTGTTAATATGGGATTTAGGCCTGTAGTTAATCTAGTCTTTTACTGAAAACACTGTGTTGTAAAGGTTTCTGATCATAGCTTTCATATAGTTTAGTTTAGTTTTTTTAGCCTTTTTTTTATTAATCTAAATCATTTTCTTTTTTTAACATTTAGTTTCTAACTTGTCAGAAAATATTTTGTAAAATTATTTGTTTTGTCTGGCCAAATGATAAAAAAACTGAGAAAACAGATTTGAGAAATT